AAGTAAGCACACCATGAAAGCAATGGCCGCGCGACCCACTGATGCGAGTCGTACACACGAGGCCTACAGCGCACACCACGTCCGACGTAAATGTAACGTAACATGCTTTGTGTGTATACATATACATATGTATAACGTATGCCACACTGCAATCTATCGCAGAAGAATCCCCAACAATATGATCATAAAACCACTCAAAAAGTGAATCAAAATCCCACTATCCTTATGTATAAGATCAACTGATATGCTCTATAATGATCAGCGGTTATGAGGATGATAAGCCCTGTGAGGGTACTTAACCACAAAAAGTACAGAAAGTGAAGAATTTTGGAGCAAAACTTTCTTACCTGGGCGTTGCTCGATCAGCAGCGAAATGGCCGCACCCGAGAAAGTTCTCGAACGACCAACGCCCACAGCCTTAAGGCACTGTTCATAGCGAGGATCCCGGACATATTGCTCCGCCATTCATAAAAAGTGTAAATGTGGATCATTCCAAACCCAAACTAAGGTAACACATTGGAACTTCCCATGGAACACTAGCAAAACAATGTTTACAATTAGTTAATTTATAATTGAATGTCAATTAAGAGGTATAACCTTAATTGGGACATAAATCGTGATTCCAAAAGGACTGTTTGTTATAGTGGATGTTCAGGCTTATGTCATGGAAAGTGTAGAGTGGTTTTCGGCTGCATTATTAATTAGATAAATAGTTTTCCATGCGATAAATTAGAACTACAAAGTACAGGTCACTACACACTTAACAAGTTTTATTTCATCTAATACTCAGTGAAGATTTCCCGTAAAATTCCCCTAATGTTTTATTGTGCGCAAAGTTTGCTCATAATTTTGTTGCACATTTCTAAGTTGTTTTTTTGCAAGTTCTATTCAAATCCCCTTTCTGTATGTAATGATATTTATAAACAGCCCCTTCTAAGTAAAGTTTGAACCAACCCATGAAAACTATCTTTCCAAACTAATCCTGCCCATAATTATAAAATAAACAGACACAAGAAAAACACAAGACAAATTTTTCTCACTTTTCTTCTTCTCTTGACGATTTCTCATTTCTTTTTTTCTCTCCTCATATTTACAATCACTTTATCTTTCTTCAAAACTTTCTTCCAAAAAAAGAACCTTCCAGTAAAAAACTTAGCCAAAAAAAGAAAAAAAC